GCCACGGACAGAGGTTCGCAGCCACGGAGCGGAAGGTCAGACGGGACCAGCAGATCCTCTGCTCTGCTTCCCTGTGTATCCCCAGCCACGCCCGCTCACTAAACCCAGCTCCCGGAAGGAGAGCAGGAGACCCGGCTGGCGTGTGCCACAGGCAGCAAACCCCGAGGGGCACCGGTGTCCGAGGCCCCCAGTGGCAGGGAAAGGATGAAGTGAGACCCCCAGTAATCCTGGCAAGGGACCCACACGCTGCTGTTATTTTTCAAGGCAGGGGCTGTCCATACATTACACAATGCATTGGGGGAGAGGGTCCCTAATTGTGCCTGTTTGTTGCAGTCTTACGAGAGGCAGGTACGTCATGAAAAATCACCCCAAAATGTGTTCATTTCTGCACAGCCCCTCAGACAGGCCCAAACCAGGTGGCACCCGGCACCAGAATAAACCAGCAACATAATCCCTGCTCCAGAGAGCCTCCAGTCTAAACGGGGGGTCAGCAAGGGAGAGCCACGGCCTGACACAGGAGGGGAGGGGGCAGGAAGGTCAGGCCTGGGGACAGCACAGGGGCTTGGCTGTTGGGTGACAGGATAGTGTGGCCCAGTGCGGCCGTTATGTTCTTCTTGGGGGCCTACTGGAGTGGTTTGGAGGTGGCAGCCCCTCTACAGCCTGGTGCTGGACATGCAGAAGTGGCTGAAGGTTTCAATCCTCCTAGAGAAATTGCCTCTTGCGAAGGGATTTCAAGGCAGGGAGGGGGATGGTGGCTGAAGAACGCGACCCCTGCAAGGGGAACTGGGGGTTTCTACTGCACTGACGGGGGCCGGGTCTGTGTGCACTGGAGGCCCTGGCAGGGCAGGTCTCCGCCTAGACCCAGCTTGTACGGGGTCTGGGGGCCAGACGCCAGAGCCAGCCGGGGAGCTGGGCCGCGCTGAGAGGGACAGAATTTGAGCAGCGCAGGCCAGTTCGTTCGAGTAAGCGAGTGCTTCGACCAAGAGGCTCCGCCCTGCCCCGTCTCCCCGGGGTGAGCACAAAGCAAACTGCCCGAGCTCTGCCTCGAAGGAGCGTCCCTCGGGAGGAGGCCCTGCCCTCGGACAGACTGCCCCCCCCCAAGCCTGTGCTGGCGGAGGGCTCCCGAGCTCCAGGAATGAGGCTCTCACACCGACGTCAACAGGAGCTGGTCCAGGCCTGGCATCCGTTAACTGATTCCAGCGACTCCCCTGCTGCGGGGCAGACACACGCTTGGGACCACAGAAGGTGTGAAAAGCACAAAGCCCCATGGCCCCTCCTGCAACGCCAGCTTTTTTCCAGTCATCCGGGACCTCCCCCGCTCGCCAGGAGATTTCAAAGATACAGGAACTCCTCACTTAAAGTCATCCCGGTTAACGTTGTTTCGTTGCTGACCAATTAGGGAACATGCTCGTTTAAAGTTGTATAATGCTCCTTTGGCAGCCGCCTGCTTTGCCCACTGCTTGCAGGAAGAGCAGCCCGGTGGAGCTAGCTGGTGGGGGCTTGGAATCAGGGTGGACCGGCAGCCCCCCTATCAGCTCCCCTAAGTTCCCTGTGCTGCAGCTGCCCCCACTGCCATGTGCTGCTCCTGCCCTCTGCCTTGGAGCTGTTCCCAGAGACTCCTGCTTGCTGTACAGAGGGAGGGCAGAAGTGGGGGGCTGTCAGGGTGTCCCCCTCCCCCCTGCTCCTGCACCCCGCTTACCCCATTGCCATAGAGCAGGGGGGACACCCGGCAGGGTTCAGGACCGAGGGAGCTTCCAGGCAGCAGCTGGTTTCAGCAAGCTGATCTAATTAACAAGGCAGTGTACTTAAGACTGGGGTCAGCTAAAGGGGAAATGCGCCTCTCTCTCCCACACACCGTGTGTCTCTCCGTCTCTATCTGTGATGCTCTCTCCCCTCCCTCCATTCCTGCTGCCTTGTAGAGCATGAGGCTACATTAACAAGGTGTTAACCCTTGAGGGCTCAGCCAAATGCTAGTTCATTTAGCAGTAAGGCATTCCCTGGGAAATATCCCACCCTCTGACTCCTCCACCTCAACCAAGCTTCACAATCATGGCTGTGTACAGTACTCAATTGTTTGTTTAAAACTTAGACTGTGTGTGTGTGTATATACAAAAGACATTATATATATAAAAAAAGTCTTTTGTCTGGTGAAAAAAATTTCCCTGGAACCTAACCCCCCCCATTTACATTCATTCTTATGGGGAAATTGGATTCACTTAACCTCATTTTGCATAAAGTTGCATTTTTCAGGAACAGAACTACAACGATAAGTAAGGAGTTACTGTAATGGCCAATGGCTCTGCAATCTCATCCGCCATCTCCTTTAGCACCCTCGGATGCAGCACATCCGGCCCCACGGACTTGTGCTCGTCCAGCTTTTCTAAATAGTCCTGAACCACTTCTTTCTCCACAGAGGGCTGGTCACCTCCTCCCCATACTGTGCTGCCCAGTCCAGCAGTCTGGGAGCTGACCTTGTTTGTGAAGACAGAGGCAAAAAAAGCATTGAGTACATTAGCTTTTCCCACATCCTCTGTCCCTAGGTTGCCTCCCTCATTCAGTAAGGGGCCCACACTTTCCTTGACTTTCTTCTTGTTGCTAACATACCTGAAGAAACCCTTCTTGTTACTCTTAACATCTCTTGCTAGCTGCAACTCCAAGTGTGATTTGGCCTTCCTGATTTCACTCCTGCATGCCTGAGCAATATTTTTATACTCCTCCCTGGTCCTTTGTCCAGTCTTCCACTTCTTGTAAGCTTCTTTTTTGTGTTTAAGATCAGCAAGGATTTCACTGTTAAGCCAAGCTGGTCGCCTGCCATATTTACTATTCTTTCTACACATCGGGATGGTTTGTTCCTGCAACCGCAATAAGGATTCTTTAAAATACAGCCAGCTCTCCTGGACTCCTTTGCCCTCATATTATTCTCCCAGGGGATCCTGCCCATCAATTCCCTGAGGGAGTCAAAGTCTGCTTTTCTGAAGTCCAGGGTCCGTATTCTGCTGCTCTCCTTTCTTCCTTGTGTCAGGATCCTGAACTCGACCATCTCATGGTCACTGCCTCCCAGGTTCCCAGCCACTTTTGCTTCCCCTACTAATTCTTCCCTGTTTGTGAGCAGCAGGTCTAGAAGAGCTCTGCCCCTAGTTGGTTCCTCCAGCACTTGCACCAGGAAATTGTCCCCTACACTTTCCAAAAACTTCCTGGATTGTCTGTGCACCGCTGTATTGCTCTCCCAGCAGATATCAGGGTGATTCAAGTCCCCCATGAGAACCAGGCCCTGCGATCTAGTAACTTCTCTGGACATACTCCAGAGACTTGATTTTAACCTGCAGTTTGTTCCATCACTGCTACAAGCCTGAACCAAGACTTTGCCATTACTGGATGTAATTGATTCCATTTAACCAATTCTAGCTCTCATCTCTACCTTGGTTCCTTTTATGAATAAACCTTTAGATTCTAAAGGATTGGCAACAGCGTGATTTGTGGGTAAGATCTGACTGGTATATTGACCTGGGTTTGGGGCTTGGTCCTTTGGGATCGGAAGAACCTTTTTTCTTTTACTGGGGTATTGGTTTTCATAACCATTTGTCCCCATAAGGAGCGGTGCTGGTGGTGATACTGGGAAACTGGAGTGTCTGAGGGAATTGCTTGTGTGACTTGTGGTTAGCCAATGGGGTGAGACCAAAGTCCTCTCTGTCTGGCTGGTTTGGTTTGCCTTAGTTTGTAAAGGAACCCCACCCTTGGGCTGTAACTGCCCTGTTCTAAGCAATTTGTCCTGAATTGATACTCTCAGTAGTGTCCCTCCAGAGGCCACATCGTTACACCAGGGCACCCACCGTGCAGAGCATGTCCCTGCCACAGCGGGAATGCCCACCTGTGCCACGCTGCCCTCTCCCCACGTGCTCACCCTGCTTGTTCGTTGCTCCTAGGGGCTGCCAAGTACCGAAAGCTCTTGCAGAAAATCCAGCCCCACACTGTGATTGTGGAAGAGGCAGCAGAGATCCTGGAAGCTCACGTTCTAACCTGCCTCACGCCGGCCTGCAAGCACCTCATCCTGATTGGAGATCACCAGCAGGTAAATGCAACAAAACCAGCCTCCCAAGCCCATCCGCCCTAGTGCACGTCCTGCTACAGCTACCCCAGGATTCCCTTGCTGGGGGACCGCTCCTTTCCCCCGGCACTCCTCCCAGGCACACTCCCCGTGGCACTGCTGAAATGGCACAGCCATCTGTGAGGTAGGACATCCGTCCCTTGGCAGGTCGGCCCGTTACAGGAGATCGGTGGCTGGGAGGGGCCGAGGGTGGAGTTTGTGGGTTTGCTGAGCTATGAAAGGGGAACGGTGTGACGGCTGCTGCTTCCTGCGAGCTGATCCAGGAGCGCAGGAGATTAAAGCGCCGCAGCTCCCTTGTAGCTTTGCCCTTCTGGAACCTGGTCACCGATATCAAAATCCAGCCCCTTCCCAATGGCCGAGCACTGCGTGTCCGGTGGGTGCAGCACCCAGAACTGGCGCCGTGTTTTCCAGCTGCGGCCCAAACCCGCCGATTACACCTTGGAGAAGAAGTATTTCCTCGGCATCTCCCTGTTCGAGCGCATGATAAATAATCAGATCCCCTATGTGCAGCTGCTCTATCAGGTGAGTGACGCTGTCCATGCCTCCGGGAGGGGCCTGGCTGTACCGATGGCTCCCCACGCCCCTCCCTGTGGCAGGTGTAGCTGCTCGCAGCCGCTGGTGACCCTCTCCGGGTGCTGGTGGGAAGGTTGTACAGTGACAATGTATCATCCCCGTCTGCCTGCAGAGCCTCTGAGAGCCCTGGCCTGGTTACGAACGCAGACGGTCTCCGGAAGATACTCGCTCTGTGGCACAACTCTGGGGAGGGCAGACGGTGTCAGGGTGGGGAATAGCGGCGAGTAGCCAAACAGACACCAAGCCAGGACCCCACACGCACGGGGAGGCCTAGGGCTCCTCCCCGGGCAGTATTGACAAAATATGTGTTTCACCAACGCAGCTGATGGGCACAACGTGAACTGTGGCCAGAATTTTCCATGTCCGGGGCCTACTTGTGGGCACTGAAATAAGCGTCTGGGTTATTGAAAGTGCCGAGCAAGAGCCACGCTAACTGAAGTCACTGGGAGCTGCTCGGGGCTCAGCCCCTTTGAGCAACTGGGCACTTAGGGGCCCAAATCACGGGGGGAGGGGGGGGCACCATAGTTAAGGTTGTGACTTGCTTTCTGTTCAACAGCCAGTTTTCCTAAGTGCTCGAAAATCCACAGGCAGACGTGGAGTTTAGGTCAGAAGCGTTGTCAAGGGAACTAGCGTTAATTAAAGAGAAGGAAGACAAAAGTGTCCAGCCAGCAGCAGCATTAGAATAATGTAACCAGGCCGCAGGCGCTTCACCCATTTCCTGAACAACGGGACTGAGTGTGATCAAAGAAAAGCAAGTAGCTGTGATGCTTATTACTGATGCATCAGGAGAGGCATCCGTAACGGAGAGCCCTATCGTAAGGACGGGTGTAAGGAGCCCAGTGGCTGATGCGGCACCAGGATACAGGCCTCAGTCAGACCTGTATCTTAGGGGTATCACGAGAGAAACATGCAGAAAATACACTGCAATTTCTGCACTAACTCATCCAGTCTACACAAACCAAGGGTTTGCCCCCCCACCACTGATTTCAACCCCCATCAAAGTGCTGAACTTCCTTGGAAGAGGGGTCTGAAGGAATGTGGGACACTGGAAAAAAAACCTCATAGCAAATCTCAATCGATGTCTGTCCCCCGTCCCCCGTCCCCCAAACTGCTACCAAAAAACCAAGCTGTGCCCAAACGACAACAAACATTTGAAAACGAGACTCTGCCCCAAACGGCAGAATGTGTATAGACGTGGTCCCCCTGCTAGAGGGGAAATCCAGGTGTAACTATCTCGAGAGGTGCCACCACCCTGCCACAGGGCTGCTGTGTCACATCAGGGCCACGCGTCGAGTCAGTGGCGCAAGTTGGGGTCATTTGGTCAAGTGGTTCCTCAGGTGAAGGTCTCCCCACCCAACAACTGAAATTGTTCTAAAACCCATGTGCACAGTGCGATTGTCAGGGGCCAGCCCAGCTCCGAGAGCCGCTGGCCGACTCCCCAACTTGGCTGCTAGGCAGTTAATGAGCCCCGCTGCCCTGCCTTGGAACTGAGAGAGGGGCCACAGCCTCTGCTGATTTACAGGGCCACCCAGAGGATTCAGGGGGCCTGGGGCAAAGCGGGGGAGCGGACATAAAAAAAGGTGCCACCCGCTGCAGCGCTTGTACTCACCGGGCGGCGCTCCGAGTCTGCGGCGGCGGCAGGTCCTTCACTCACTCCGCGTCTTCGGCAGCACTGAAGGACCCACCGCCGAAATGCCGCCGAAGACCGGAGCGACTGAAGGGCCCACGGCCGAAGTGCCGCCGAAGACCCAGACCACCGCCGGGTGAGTAGCCAGGGAAGGGATTGCCGGCCGTAACGCTTGGTCCTAGAAGGGTGATGAGCCCATACCCAGGCGCCTCCCGAGGGGATGTGCATGAGTTACCCCTCGGCAGCAGGGCCTGGCACATCATGGGGGTAACAGGCCCCACTGCTCCACTCAGCTCCTCGTAAACCCAGAGAATCCAAACTGATGCCTACGGTGCGATGGGAAAGTGGATGGGGAATCCGTCATCACCTCTTCTGAGATGGCGCACTAGGGATCCTAGAGCCCCCCACTCCTGGGGGCTAGTGAGCTGCTGGGCTGGCTTGGTGAAAACCCCGCTCCCAACCCTCCTGCAACAGGCAGATTTCAAGACTCCACAAGGGTTGGAGCATCCAGCCACAACAGTCACCAAGCAACCCCCTGGGGCCTGTCTAATAAATACTGTAACTCAGACAAACCACTAGGTCTAGGGAACGGCTGTTACCATACCGACAGGTCGGTAACACCGATCGTCCCGACCTGGCAGCCGGCGAACAGAAGTGGTGGATAGACGGAGCAGGGCGGCTGTACCACGTGCCAGCTGCTGGTGGGGGGTGAGAACAGCTTTAGGATTTTGTTGCTAGATGCAGGCCCATCAGCCCCATCGTACCGTCTAGTTGCCTTTGAGGAATGCTCCAATCCCTTCATCAAAGAGCTAGCAGCTGCCAGCCCGAAGCAGGCGGAGCTGTAACAAACGTGGAGCAAACGGTTAATCCACGGCCAAGGGAGGTTTTTTAAATAGTTACCAAAGAATAACTGTGACTCTCAGCTGGGTGTCCCGTTCTTGCCTCAAACAGCACCGCATGCGCCCAGAGATTTCCCAGCTGCTGGTGCTGCTCTTTTACAAACAGCTCAAAGACCACGATGCCGTTGCTGAATATGAACAGATCAAGGTAGGTGGAAACATTTCCCGTAGCTGGGAAATCCGTCAGCCTGTGCCACGTGACGGAGCCACCTGCCAGCCCGGGCAAGAGTGTTCGGGGAGGGCGGGGGGAGCGAGGGCGAGCTTATTACCAAAGGGATTCTAATTTATTAGATGCATCCCACTGAAGCTGTTAACAAGCCCAAGGTAGAGCAAGAAACCAACTACAGGGCTGGTTGCCCCCATCCTTCTGCCATGGCTCACCGAAGGAGCCTGCCACGCGCGCCTCAGGGCAGAGTTTATTTATCAGTCTAGGTTTCCTCTGGATCCAGATGAAGCCAACGGGACCGGCTAGTGGAGACTCTGTGACTGGGGCATTTGTGAAGGCAGCTCTTTCTCCCCCACTTAGCCCTGTCAGGCAGCACTGCAGCCCCCCGGTGCGGTGAATGGGGAGTTGCCCACGGCTGGCTTGTTTCCTTCGGTTTGTTCTCATCCTCATCTGTAGGGCTGGCTGGAGAATGCAGGGGGAAAATATCCCAAAAAACATTTGAGGAGATTTTGAACGTTCAGCAAGTTCTGGCTGCTCGGGAAGCTGGAGGGAAACAAAGGAAACGTCCTCAGTTAACCATTCAGGGAGGATTTCTGCAAAACAATAGAAATTTCAAAACTTTTCTAGCCAGCCATAGTCATTTTTCTGTGTGTGCTCCTAGGTGTCTGGTGTGGGGGGCTCTTCCTTCTGGCTGGGGAGGCCAAGGGGAGTTTTAATGGTTAACTAAAACACACACACACACACACACGCTTTGAAGGAAAAATAAACACCTGGGGTGCCCTAAGCACTAGATCATCCTTCCTCCCAGAGGTAACAGGCTCCTTCGTGCTCATCCTCTGCACCTTGGTTTTAAACATGCCTCGGACCTGTAATTCTATGCTACTGCTGAGGTGTGACCGGCAGCGTCAGGAAGTGGGATCTGAACCCGTCTCCATGGGAGATGAGCTGCAAACCAGCAAAGCCCAGTGACCCATATTTAGACTAGTTTCTCCTGCCTACCCCGAGGGTTAGCGGTAGTTCAGTCTTTGCATGGAATTCCTCTTCACTGCTCCTGGAAACGTGCCCTGTTCTGTAGCCGCCAGTAGTGGGCAAGGTGCTTCACAGGGGACTCAGAAAAGAGGCCAAACGCTTCTGCTCTAGCACCACCTCAGACGCTGCAGGCGGGACGCCATTCGCAGCCCACAGTAACAGCAGCAGCAGTGTGTTTCTGGCGCAGAACAGGCGCCCATTCCCTCCCCTCGGCTGCGGCTGAATGAGCTAGTACCACCTGTAAAGCTCTTTGGGACAAAAGGGGTTAAAGGAATAGCAAGGGTTACTGGATCCCAGCTCCTTTGCCTCGGGCGGGACAGCTCTGCCTCCTCCCAGTTACAGATTGGGTTAAACATGCAAATATTAGCAGTCACTTCATTTTAAAAAATGCTCAGGGTGCCAACTCTCCCTGTCTGCAGGGCGTGGAGAGCAGTGTCTTCTTCATCCAGCACACAGCGGCCGAGAGCCACAGCGCTGACTCCGAGAGCTACAGCAACAGGTTTGAGGCTGCCTTCCTTGTGTCGCTGAGCAGATACCTCCTAGAGCAGGGATACCACAAGAGCCAAGTCACCATTCTGACCCCCTACCACGGCCAGGTGCTGAAGATCCGCACGCTGATGAGGAGCAGGGACATGGGAGACGTGGCTGTCCATGCCGTGGATGACTTTCAAGGGGAGGAGAATGACATCGTTCTTCTCTCGCTGGTACGAAGCAACAGAGAAGGGAGGATTGGTTTCCTCCAGGATAAAAATCGGCTCTGTGTGGCTCTCTCACGGGCCAGGAAGGGCTTCTATTGCATTGGAAACCTAGCTGGCATTGCAGCTGGCTCCAACAGCAAACTGTGGAAAGATATTCTACGTCTCCTAAAGAGAAAGAAACTTACGGGGGAAGGGCTGACACTGGTGTGTCAAAATCACCCCGATACCAAGACAGTGGTGAAGGAGAGTTCGGACTTCAGTAAAATCCCTGACGGAGGCTGCACGCTCCAGTGCCAAATCCGGCTGGAATGCGGCCACCCCTGCACGCGCCGCTGCCACCCGTCCGACAGGGATCACAGCCTGTACGTTTGCCAGTTCCAGTGCTCCAAGCTGTGTGAGCTCAACCACAGGTGTCCGAGAAAGTGCAAGGAACCTTGCGAACCTTGTTCCGTGGAAGTGGAAAAAGTCATTCCAAAGTGTGGGCACCTCCAGACCGTCCCCTGTCACATGCCAGCTGATCACTGGCTCTGCCAGGAGCCGTGCAAGCAGCTTCTGGAATGCAAACACCCATGCACACGCCGCTGTGGGGAAGCCTGCAGCACCTCCAGGTGCAAGGAAATGATTGACATCACTCTGCCCTGTTCTCACGTAATGAGAACTGACTGCTACAAGCAGAAAATGCCTCCGATCTGCCCTGAGACATGCAACCAGAAACTTGAGTGTGGACACCACTGCAAAGGAAACTGCTATGAATGTGTGCAGGGCAGGCTGCATGTCCACTGCCGTAACAAGTGCACGAGGGTCCTTCTGTGTTCCCACCAGTGCCAGGAATCGTGTTTTGAGAACTGTCCTCCATGCAAGAGAAAGTGCCCCAACCAGTGCAGACACAGCCGCTGTGATAAGCCATGCGGGGAGATCTGTTTTCCCTGCATACAGCCCTGTTCCTGGAAATGCAGGCACTACCGGTGCACACAGCTGTGCTCCGAGACGTGTAATCGCCCCCGCTGCAGTGAGCCCTGCCAAAAATCACTCAAATGCAGCCACCCCTGCGCAGGCCTCTGTGGAGAGCCGTGTCCGCCCAAGTGTCGCACGTGCCACGGAGACGAGCTGGCCGAGATTTTCTTTGGGGCCGAAGACGAGCCGGAGGCCCGTTTCGTGGTCTTAGAAGACTGCGGACACATTTTGGAGGTGCGGGGCCTGGATCGCTGGATGGACGGCGAGCCAGACCATGCTCAGGCCCAACACGTCCAGCTGAAGGTGTGCCCCAAATGTGCGACACCCATCCAGCATAACACGCGTTACAACAACGTGATCAAGGCCATCCAGCAAAAAATCAAGGAGATCAAATTGAAGATTCAGGGAAACAGGGAAGAACTTGAAGCTGGAAAGCGGCAACTGCTCCTTCGGCTGAACAGCGACCGAGACCTCGTGGCCTGGGCGGGTATGGAAAGAAGCATTCTGAGCACTGTCTCCCGTCAGAGCCTTCTGGACTTGGAGAACACCCTTAATTTCTTTGCAAGTCTCTCCAGACTGAAGCAACAAGCGAAGAAGTGCACAGCGGCGAGAGAACGCAATCTGAAACGGAAGATTGAGGCTGTGGAGCACTGGATCGGCAGAAACAGACACGCCTTCACAGCTCAGCAGCTCAGGGAATGCAGGAATGAGATCAAGAGGATATCGTACCTGGGAAACATCTTTGAGCGGCTGAGTGGCTACGAAAACAAACAAGCATCGTTCTCCACCGAGGCTGTGGCACTTGCTACTGAAGCCATAGGCGTCCTCCAGCGGCAGGACCCTTTCACCCAGAGTCGGGAGGAATCTCTCCAGAGGGTGCTGGAGAAGATCGATGCGTGGCTTCCTGCTGCAGGACTGCAGCTCTCCGAGGCAGAGAGGGTCATGATAACAGAGGCCATGCAATTCGGCAGGGGCCACTGGTACAGATGCCCTCAGGGCCATTTGTACACGATTGGGGAATGCGGCCGGCCAATGCAGCAGAGCAGCTGCCCCGAGTGTGGAGCTACCATTGGGGGGCAAAACCACGCTCTCACTCGGGAGAACGTCGCCGACGATCAAATACTGGAACCCGCTAGCGCACAGGAGCGAGAACCACGTCTACAGGATAGTATCTTAGCGCTGCCCAGCTCCAGCGATCAGCCATGGTCGCCCACCTGCTGCCCACCCAGCCCCCACCCCCCGCCGGACTCACCGCCCCCTCGCCCGCCCATCCCCCACCCTCAGCCGGTCTCATCACCCCCTGAGGCACCCAGCCCCCACCCTCAGCCGGACTCACCGCCCCCTCGCCCGCCCAGCCCCCACCCTCAGCCGGACTCACCGCCCCCTCGCCTGCCCAGCCCCCACCCTCAGCCAGACTCACCAATGCCTGCCAGCCTTGCTAACCCCACACCCACCCAGCCCCCCCTGCCAGTTGGCCTTGCCAACCCCCTGCCTGCTGTCAGGCACCGCAGGCCTCGAACCCAGGCCCGTGGGCGTGCCAAGCAGGAGCCTTACTCTTTGCGCCACCGCGCGGCAAGGCAGGGAAACCGCTGCTAACGCTCCACCTGCTGAGTCAGCGGGGTCAGGTGACTAGCAGCAGACGGCTGATTAGACACCACTGGGCATAAACCTTCTTGCTCCTGTCCCACCCCTTGCTTGAGCAACCTGCACCAGGCCTGGCGCTGACCGGTCCCCGACAACCGAGTTCCTGGCTCCTTGTTCCTCACCCTGACCCCAGTTATCGACTCCGGCTTTCACACCCGACGTGGCTTCTGACTGACTCGTCCCGGGACCCTTGGCGGGATTCCTGTCCACGGCCCTGACTCTGCCCTGAGCTCTGACTGCCCGTGCATGGGCCCTGACAGTTTGCTCAGACCCCCTCGGTCTCTTCCCCTGAACGGAGTATGGACACTGCTGGGTCTTCCGCCACACCCACGCCCCAGGGGCCTGTGCGTCTGCAGGAACACATCACTGTCCTCCAGGCTGAGACCCAGAGCCTGAGAGATCACATATGGCAACTGCAGACAGGAAATTTCTCCTTGCAGGTGCACATTGCAGCTCTCAGAGCAGCTGCAGGGACCACGTCTCCCCTTGTGACACCAGCTGGGTAACCAGCCCTAGATTTCCGCTCGCAGAGATACCATGGCACCATCGGCACGTTCTGCAGGTTTATTACCCAGTGCAGACTCCTGTTTGTGCTCCAACCCCAGGAATATGCCGTGGACCAGGTCAAGGTGGGGCAGCTACTTAACTTGCTTACCGCGGAGGCCCTTGCATAGGCTTCTCCGCTTCTAGAGCAAGACCACCCTGTGTTGACATGCTGGGCTTCTTTCCTGCACGCATTTGCTACCATTTGTGACGAATCGGCTAAAGCCCACATGGCAGAGATTGCCTTACGTAAGGGGGTGGCCCCTTCCTGTGTCACCCAGACAGCATCTGGAATGATGTCACACTCCTCCATCAGTTTCAGTTCAATCAGTGTGATGAATTAAGGACGGGCTGACATGGGTAGACGCTCCTGCCAAGTTGGCCTTTACTTACTACAGAGGCTTTTATGGACCTGTGTATCAGGACAGACACCAGGCTCCATGAATGACAAATGGAACACAGGCAGACTCTGTCTACATTCTGCATCTGCCCAAGGTTCAGGCCTCAGACTCAAGGAAGCCTGGTCCTGGTCAAGCCCACGCAGATAGATGTGGTGCATGTCTCCAGGCATGTGAGTGTGCCGGAGATGGGAAAACCTGTTTCTACTGTGAGCAAAAAACCAGTCTGTGGTAATTTGCAGAGAAATGCTAAATCTTTTTTTTTTTTAAATAAAGGTTTTAATACTTCAGTTTTAGCGAGGAATAGAAAGAGATTTGATGTCTATTATAACAGGAGTTAAGTTTAATTTTTTTTTTTTACATGGTTTAAGCATGACTTGCTTTATTCTTTTAGTGGTAAAAATGATGTCTGAATTCTGTTTGCATATAAATAGTATTAACCGCCTCCGAAGTCAAAGGGGGATACAAGAGATCTTTCAGCTGCTTTGTGCAAGGAATTCAGCACTAAGAGCGCTGCACAGCCACCATGAGCCGAAGCAGGGAGAGAGAGAGAGAAATTAAACTTGTTTAAAATAATGAAAAATGGAGCAGTGACAGTGAATGGTAGGGTTAGGGCCTGCTTAGATATGGATAGCTTATAACTGTAGAGGTTTAATAGTTAAGATAGTTTTAGGTGGTTACGGCTAGCGATAACAAGGTGGTCATCACAAGCAGTCACAGAGAAATCCAAAATGGAGGTCTGGGAGTGATTCAGCCAACAGCAAGTAGGGAGGCTGAGGTGAAATAAAGGTCACTCCAAAACCTGAAGGGAGAGGTCAATCAGGCAAGATGCAAGTCGTCAATCAGGTCAGCCAAATAAGGCACAAGTTTTCAATCAAGTCTAGCTTTGATTGACAGATAGAGGGCTTAAAATGATTGGTGGGAATGCTTAGGATTGTAAAAATAACCAATCCCAATAGGCCAAAATCTGTATAGAAGGCAGAGAGCGAACACTCTTGAGTCAGAGTGAGTGGAAGGTACTGGTGTGTGTATAAGCAGTAGGAGAATCAAGAATAAAAAGGAAAGAACTAAAATCACGTAAGGAGAGACAAGCAGTAACAACGGAGCAGTAGCAACACTGACAGAGCAGAAGCAGCTCTCAGAGGGAAAAGATAGTAGAGAAAGTAAGCAAAATAACTCTCCAGTGTAAGAATAATTAAACTGTGTGAATGTAAGGGTCTGGGATAATAAAGCTGGATGTTTTTGTTTGTTATGAGTTAGATGTTTAAGGATTTGCTGTCAGCATTGTGTGTGTGACTGGTCATCACATAGGGAATGTAACCACTTGAAGCAATTTAAAAACGGTATGATATTGCAATTGTGAATACTTAAAGTCAATTAGCACAGATCACATTATGCCTTGTTAAGAACATTTATGGATTCTTTATCTTCTTAATAAACTTGTTGGATTAGGGAATATTGTGTTAGTAAAGAATATTCTTGTTTTCAAAGAATACTGCCTGAATGTCAATCCTTTGAGCAGAAGACTGTATCCGTGTCCTTCCAAGGATCAACAGAGCTAGTCTGTCTTCCTGAGGGGAGGGGATTATAGATGCTAGCGTGATCATCTGGAACTTCAGCTTTTGAATAATGATGTTGAGTTGCTGAAGGTCCAGGGTGGGTCTCCACTCTCGGTCTTTTGTGGGGATTAGGAAATATGGGAAGTAGAACCCTCCCCTCTTCTGCGGTAACGAGATGGGACGTGCTCTACTGCCCCTCAGTGTAAAAGGGATTCTGCCTACCATTGAAGAATCACCTCAGGAGAGGGGGAGGAAGGGGGTTTGTGAGGTGGCAAGGAAAGAAACTACAAAATATTCCTGGTAGATAATCTCCGGAACCTAAACTGTTCATTGTGATCTTGTTCCAGTTGTGGGTTAAAAGTGTAAGATGGCCCCCAAAATGTCAGGGGACAGATGGCTGGCAACAGCAGTGGTGCTTGGGTCTCGACCAATGTGTCAAAAGTGGCTCTTGACTGGTGGTGGATAGTGAGGAGAGACTGTGGCAGTAGAGGGGGCCAAGAGTGAGGCCTCTGAATCCTCTGGCATTTGCACAGAGGCTGGGTTGTGCACTGGTGATAAGATGCATGAGGAGGGGGTGGCCTTGGTCTATTGGACTGCGTCTGGGGTTTCCTCCTAGGGGCTGGCGTATAAGTCCCCAGAGAATGCAGCATCAATTTTGAGTCTTTTAGTGAGTGCAGGGACTCAGCGGTTTTCTTGTTGAAGGGATTCGACTTGTCAAAAGGAAGGTCCTGGGTGGCAGTTTGGACCTTGCTAGGGAACCCTGCCGGTTGTAGCCAGGAATCCCCCTCAGGACTAGACCAGTGGCTAAACTTCTGGAAGCCGGGTCCACCACATGCAGTGCAGCCAGGAGGGCTACGTTTGCCACTAGCCTCCCCTCCTCTAAGAGAGACTGAAATAGAGCCCAGTCTTCTGTGGGAAGCTTGTCTGTGAAGTCCTAAAGCCTGGAATAAGTATTAAAATCCTATTTCACTAGCACCACTTGTTAGTTAGCAACATGAAATTGCAGGCCTGTGGAGACCACCTTCCTCCCTACACGGTCCAGTCTTTTAGAGCCTTTATCTGCCAGGCTGGCCCCACGCTTTCATCGGCACCACCGGCAAGTTGGGGACAGGGTAGGAGAATAAGAATTCAGCCCCTTTTCAGCAGGAACAAAACACTCTCTCAGCCCTTTTCGGTATGGGGGCACAGGATGCTGGAGTGTGCCATCCCACTCTAGCCGGTTCTAGTATGGACTCATTGATGGGTAGGGCTTCCTTACTCGGCTCCTGAGGCTGCACAATGTCCAGGAACTGGCATTGAGGATCCTAGACCTCATAAGAACGGCCAGACTGGGGCAGACAAAGGCCCATCTAGCCCAGTGTCCTGTCTTCCGCCAGTGGCCAATGCCAGGTGCCCCAGAGAGAATGAGCAGAACAGGGAATCACCCAGTGATCCATCCCCTGTCGTCCATTCCCAGCTGCTGGCAAACAGAGGCTAGGGACACCATCCCTGCCCATCCTGACTATTAGCTATTGATGGACCTATGCTCCATGAATTTATCTAGTTCTTTTATGAACCCTGTTATATTCTTGGCCTTCACAACATCCTCTGGCAAAGAGTTCCACAAGCTGACTGTGCGTTGTGTGAAGAAATACTTCCTTTTGTTTTAAACCTGCTGCCTATTCATTTCATTTGGTGGCCCCTAGTTCCTGTGTTGGGAGGAGGAGTAAATAACACTTCCTTATTTACTTTCTCCACACCAGTCATGATTTTATAGACCTCTATCATATCCCCCCCACTCATCTCTTTTCCAAGCTGAAAAGTCCCAGTCTTATTAATCTCTCCTCATAGGGAAGCTGTTCCATACCCCATATCATTTTTGTTGCCCTTTTCTGAACCTTTTCCAATTCCACTATATTCTGCAGTATTCGAGATGTGGGCATACCATGGATTTATAGACACAATATAATGTTTTCTGTTTTATCTATCCCTTTCTTAATGATTCCCAACATTCTGTTCGCTTTTTTGACTGCCGCTGCACATTGAGTGGACAGTTTCAGAGAACTATCCACGATGACTCCAAGATCTCTCTCTTGAGTGGTAACAGGCAATTTAGACCCCATCATTTTATATTGTGACAGACCCAGACCAGTGGGGTACAGGAGTCTGGTAGAGGGCAAATATACTGGTCACTGGATGAGTAGTTTTCTGTTCCCTGAGTGACCAGAGCAGGAGCTGCACTAGAGTCATCAGGAACCTGCTAGAACCAGTTAAGGCAGGCAGGCTAATTAGGACACCTGGAGCCAATTAAGAAGAAGCTGCTAGAATCAATTAAGGCAGACTAATCAGGGCACCTGGGTTTTAAAAGGAGCTCACTTCAGTTTGTGGTGCGAGTGTGAGGAGCTGAAGCAAGAGGTGCAAGGAGCTGAGAGTGAGAGGGTGTGCTGCTGGAGGACTGAGGAGCACAAGCGTTAGACACCAGGAGGAAGGTCCTGTGGTGAGAATAAGGAAGGTGTTGGGAGGAGGCCATGGGGAAGTAGCCCAGGGAGTTGTAGCTGTCATGCAGCTGTTACAGGAGGCACTATAGACAGCTGCAGTCCACAGGGCCCTGGGCTGGAACCTGGAGTAGAGGGTGGGCCTGGGTTCCCCCCAAACCTCCCAATTGACCTGGACTGTGGGTTCTTCCAGAGGGGAAGGTCTCTGGCCTGTTCCCCAACCCACATGGTGAATCTCTGAGGCAAGAAAATCCGCCAATAAGCGCAGGACCCACCAAGATAGAGGAGGAACTTTGTCACAATATGTATAGTTGGGATTATGTTTTCCAATGTGCATTACTTTACATTTATCAACATTGAATTTCATCTGCTATTTTGTTGCCCAGTCACCCAGTTTTGTGAGATCCCTTTGTAGCTCTTCGCAGTCTGCCTGGGACTTAACTATCTTGAGCAATTTCGTATCATTTGCAAGTTTTGCCACCTCACTGTTTACCCCCTTTAATGGTATCTATGACTCACTGGCAACTTGTTGCATTAGCTCCTGGTACTGGCAGTGGCCATCTGGTGGAGAAGGCTGTTGGCTGCCTGTGTTCTCTTTGTGTGCTGAACCTGGCCAGAGCTGGTACAGCACACAGACTTTTGCTCATAGCATAACTTTTGCTGAGTTTGGTTCAGGCCTCAGGCCTCGTGCTCTCTCTCCCTATTACAAAAACAGAGGAGTGATCACCTCATCCGGGGATGATGCAGAGGCACCCGTCAGGACCCGTGAATCCAGTTCCATCCCTCCTCCTCGTACACCGACAACCGGCAGGCGAGGTGCAGTAGGACTCTTGAGAGGGGCTCAGATATCTGCCATAAGGAACTCACAGATCCCAATAATGCGAGAAAGAGGGATTGAATGGTTGCAGGGGGACCCCAAAGAAATCTGTGCCAGCAGTCTCTGGGGGGAAAGGGTTCATATCCAGCAAGATGGTGAGGGTAACCCCTTGACTATCAGGGTTCAATTGCCTCCACGGAGCTACCAGTGCGGCCATCTCCTGAGAGTCATCTGAGTCCGAGACCTGCTCCATTGGTAGCAGTGGTGCCGCAGGTACCGGGACACTCCTGCCAGATTCCTGGACGGGAGATGGCTCCTGAGACAATGGTGTAGACTCCTCCTCCGGAGTAAGAACATCCCTCAGGAGGGCCGGGCTAGAAAAGTGGAGACTACAGATAAGGGAGGAATATATCCTCTGGTGTTAAAGTCTCGGGACACCCTGGTGTTCGAGGTTCCCGTAGTTAAATCTGATGGATCTGGTTTATCTGCAGTGACTGGCTGGTCTTTAGATAGACGAAGCGATACAGACAACTGGTCTGGACCTGCACTTGTAGACGGAACCAGTGAACATCTATCCTTATGCTTCAGTACCGAGGTGACCAACAGAACCAGCGGACCCTTCTTTCTGTGTCTTGCACTCTGATCCAGGGGTCTTCAATGGAGTCAGTTCCTTAGGTTCCATACGTGATGTCTCCCCCAAGCTGGACAGACTCAGGGAGGAAGTGCGTTTTTCATGGACAGTCCTCAATGATGATCTGTCCTTACACCAGGAGAGTGCTCTCTACCATCAAGGGCAGCCCTGAAAGAAGAGATCTTAGGCTTAGATGTTGAGGGCTCTGCTCCAAGGCACGTACTTGGAGGGGCACTGTTGATCAGTTGAGGCTGATTACAGGGGGTCTCCCTGGCCGAAATCGGAGAGGGTTCTCATAGCCTTTTCCATCACATGCCTCCACAGGCGAAGCTCCTGGGCTTCTTGAGTTCTGGGTGGGAAGGAGCAACAGTGCACTTCACTAGATATGCGCCTCACCCAGACAATATAGGCAACACTGATGTTCATCACTGACGGAGAAGGATTGAGGGACTCTGGGCATAGTCCTGGTGCTGCGGAGGCGTTTCCCAACCAGGGAGAAAGAAATACTCGGAACTATACTATAAACTTTAACTGCTAACTACTAATCTCAGAATAGAACTATTTACAAATGCTTTCTTTATAGGTTATGCACCAAAGTGAGGGCACAGTTCTGACTTGGGCCAGGCAGTGGTAAGAAGGAACTGGAGAGGTATCAACCCACACTGTCTCTTATACCCTTGGTCAGGAGCATGAGGAGAACTACTGCACATGTGCGGGCCAACGGACACGGCTCTGAAGAATTTCTGGATAGGGTGCATGGCGCACACTCATACTCACATTTAGAATACACTTAGAGACCATCACTCTACGAAGAATGTACACTTAAGGGGTCAGATGGGTCTTCAATATGGAAGTTGAAGTCACTACGGATGAGTGTGAAAGACTGGGAAGAGAAGAGAGAGCCAAGAGTTGAAATCAAAGAGGAAGGCTGAGGGGGAGGAATTGGATGGACAGTAGATGACAGCAACATGGAGGGGGAGCAGAGAGTCGGGTGCAGTGCTGTTCAAAAAGAGGAGAAAGCAGGAAGGGAGAGGGCGGAGGTGGGAGGGACTTGAAGCAGCAGGAACAGGACAGAAAAAGCCCATCACCCCCACCCCGGTCTGTTCCAGGCAGGAATGAGAGAAAAGAGGAGACCTCCTCAGAGGTCATGACAGACAAAGGGATCTAGGTCAGAAAGCGAAGAGCTGGAGGGAGCAAGATACAAAGAGGTCATGGATGACAAATCTTTTCAGAGAAGGAGTAGGTGTTCCAGAGACAGGGTGGAAGGAGTGGGGGGAGAATGTGTGTAAGGTTGGAAATGGTGGCACAAGAGCAGCAGAAGTGGTCATGGGGAGATGGATATGGGAAGTGGAAAGGGGGTGAATGTAGGACTTGGATCTGTGCTGGTGGAAGGAAAGGGGAGATTAGTATGGAGAGGGGAAGAGGAGCAGGTAGGGACAGTGGGAACTGTAGAAGGGTCAGGGTACCAAGGATGGGAAAATGGAGCCAGTGGGGGGAAGGAGGATGGAAGAAGAAGAAATGCGGTGATAGCCACTCTCAGTATGTAACATGTCCCCGCCACCCACCCACCCACAAAATAAAGTACAAGCACCTATACTTGTATAAGTTTTTTTTTGGAAGAATAGCAAGTATTTTTATTTTATAAACACAAAAAGGCACAAATACAATGCATGATTCAAGCAATGCTAGAAAACACCATATTGGTATAAGGCAAAAAGAGTTTGACAGCTGAAGTGATGCACCAAGAGACACTTTCAGTCAGGCTGGGTCCCTAACGTCCCAGCAGTTTATCTGCTTTAGCTCAAAGAGTCCTGCATTCAGTTAAAACAAAACAAAAAAACAACCCTGCTCAACAGCATAAAAATTCTTACAGCACTTGCAAATTTAGCAGCAGGCAGCATCGCAGGGAAAGGATGGAAACACATTAAAAAGGAGAAACAAGACAGTGAAGGGTGGGGGCAATGCTATTAAACAGATCATTGTGCTCCACAGTTCTGTTCAGCAAAGACTCCATTATGAAACTAATCAGAACTGAGAATATGTAGAGAAAGCAAAACTAAACAGTTAATCCATGAAGATTTAACTGTACTGCACAGATTCCTCTTCACCAAGGATTCTCATCTTCATTTAGGACCTGCTCCAAAGACCACCGAAGTCAGTGCGAGTCTCTACATGATTTCAGTGGGCTTTGGATCAAGCCCCACTTGCATCCACTGCCACTCTAACACTGCAAGGCTTTATGATACAGAAAAGTATAATCCGACTCCAAGCACTCTCAGAAACCATGTCCTTATGGGACACAAAACTCAGCAATTTCTCACACTTGACACACAGTGTAACCCCAAGAACTCACTCTCACCAGATGGAAGTTTGGATTACACCTCACCAGAAGGCCAGGGAGAGGTTTTAATGTAGATTTGTTTACTTAGGGGGTTACGCTAAACATATCTTTTCAGGTTAGAACTTTCCTACGTCCTTTCCACTTCTGCTGAACTTCAAGCACAACCTGTCTGTATTTGAAAATCCCCACCACAGGCAGGATAAGCTGATGCTCCAGCACCATCCTGGGACATCATCCATTCCCTCAATTTACACAGAACAACAAGAAGTTGTTCTTTATTATTGCAGAAGTTTTCTGTTGATCAAATCACAATCTGTTTTCCTCTCCAAAAATCAGTGGGTCGACGATCTATTGCTTTGGATTAATATGTAGGCTACAGTGTCTTAGCATTTGACTCTATGCATTTTGGATGAGTTACTGTTACTCTAAGTTTTTCTTTACCAACATGGCTTTCACTGGCAAAGAGTTGTTGGCTACACTCTAGAGTCAAGTGTCTTAGCAAAGGGGGAGTCCCATGTATATCATCTCTGCATGCTGCTAACTCACTTAATTTCTCTTTCAAGAAACAGTCAACTATTGTCCAAATGGATATTTCAGCTTTGCTGTTGTATGCAAACTCTTCCATTCTGAAAAGAGGCACTGATGCAGCAGGCTACTTCAGAGACAGTGCCCAGAATTCACTCAGTAAATCGTATTAAATTATCAGTGTAAGATTATTTGACAATCAGTTTCAGAATAATTTTTCAACGAGAAGGAGTCTATTTCTACAGCCTTTTGGTACTGATGATATATGTTCATATATTGTGTGTATAAGAGTCAGGTAACAGGCTTTGTATTATAACAAACTAGTGTGGGCTCCATGAATCTTTTGCAGTGTGCGTGTTTCCATCTGTCTCCATTTTATCCCCATCAGAACGATTGTCTTCCTGAGCACTTGGATTTTGCCACTTTCCCCAAACACCTTCTTTGGCTCGGACATGAAGGATACCTTTATTGTATGCAAGAGGAGAACAAAATATTAGATTGAGAGGCATCAGTCCTGCTTTGACACCAGTGAATTTTGCAGCTCTTGTTTGGTGGTTCCCAACATTTTGCTGGAATCCCACTGGGGAAACACTAATGGCTGGAAGTGTTCCTCTGTTCTGGCCCCCTTGCAACACACTTTAAAACAACACTGTCTTTCCCCCCTGTCCATTCAATCTTTCATCTGGTCTTTATCCATCCCCCCATCTCCTCCGTCTTTTTTGTCTTGCTTCTTCCTTTGTGTACTTTTCTTTCTCTCTTTTTTTTTTTTTTAATTCTTATCTGGCAACAGTCTCTCCTCTCCCTAGTCCACAAAAAGGTGTCTGTACCTAACCCTATGTAGACATGAGCTGCTCCCAGCATTGGCTACAGCAGGGACCAGTGCACGAGCAGGAACAGAATGCAGTTAACTTTCTGGGGCCAAGCAACTTTCCCTGCCTCCAGTTATTTCTCTCTGCTGCCTGCCCCCTCAACAAGTCTTAAGGTTCCCACGTCCCAGTACTCTAGTCATTTAACACTATCAATGCTACCTCTGAAACACATGCAGGAGCTGCTGGTAGCTGAGGGGAAACAGGGTGTTAACATGTATATGGGGCTGCTGTAGAAAGCTCCTAGACTTGAACAATCCTCCTGATAGCCATGTCATAATTAAGGCTGGCAATAGACTGCAAAGAGCCATACAAAACTCTTGCTTGCAGCTAGTAGAAGATTGACTTCCCCTCAAGGTAAGCATTCCGCTGTTTAAAGCCCTGCTTACAATGGCATACAGACCCTTAATGTAGGCACACCCTAGTCCTGCTATTACATGGGTGTGACGAACTGGGACTGTTCTTAATGTGGTCTGTGAATGCTGACAGGGGAGTGTGGCTAGGATAGTCTGCATTGGGGGATGGGAGACTGACCGGCGGAGAATACCTGAGCATGTAACATGAGAACCCAGGAGGGGGCTGGGGCCAGGTGACACCTTTGCCCGGGAAACTGAACAAAGGGCTGTGGGAGGGGTCGCTGAAGGCAGAGTCTGAGAAGCTGGTTGGTGAGGTGGCTGGCAGGCAGGGAGGGCTCTGACCTCCGGAGGGGGGCTGGGGTGCCCGAGGACCCCAAGATGGACCTAACTGAGGGGTATCCTGTTGTCTGTGCCTGCAAGACCTGTCTTGGACTGTATTCCCGTCGTCTAAATAAACCTTCTGCTTTACTGGCTGGCTGAGAGTTATGGTGAATCACAGGACGCCGGGGGTGCAGGGCCCTGAGTCCCCCCATACTCCGTGACAATGGGCATCTACTTAAAGTCCTCTTAACAACAACCTGTTTAAAAAGAAAGATCACTTACCTCTACAGTAACTGAAGTTCCTTGAGATGTATGGTCCTTATTTGTATTCTATTGTGGTGCACATGTGCTCCGTGCAACTGAGACTGGAAAATTCTTACTAGTAGCGTCTGCACCTGTGCCCTGTACCTCTTCATGCTCCAATCTAAAGGCATTAAGGGAAGTGTGGACTGAATGCTTCTCCAATACCTTTTGAGAGTGGTTTGTGGTAGAGAAAGGATCTGACGCAGGAGAGGAGCAGGGTGGGTAGTGGAATACACAGAGGAACCACATCTCAAAGAACTCAGGTCATTTACCTTACTGTTCTTTCTTCAAGTGATGGTCCCTATGCGTATTCCACTGTGGGTGACTCCCAAGCAGTATTCACCAAGGAGGAGGGTGAGAGAACCTGTATTGCACCATTGACACTAGGACCACTGTACCGAAGAACGCATCTGCAGAAGAGGCTTGCACCAGTGCATAATGTCTAGTAAAGGTCTGCACAGAGCCCGATGCTGTCACTCTACAGATTTCCAGGAGGGAAAAACCCTGAAGAGATGGCCCTGAAGCAGTCTGGGCTCTGGTCAAGTGAGCCCTCACTCTGACGAGTTGTCATCCCTGCAAGATCATAGCAAAGGCAGACAACCAGAAATCAATTTGGAAAGACTCAGAGAGGAGACCGCTTCTCCTTTCAGCTGCTCAGCAAAGGAAACAAAGAGTCTCAGAGATTTCTGGGAGGGTTCAGTCCTTTGTAGGTAGGAAGCTATGGCTTGAGGGACGTCCATAGAGTGGAACTTCCTGTCCTTCCTGATGGCGTGAGGTTTTGGGGAGAAGACCAAAAGGTGTATGACCTGGTTAACGTGGAATTCAAAGGGAACCTCTGGAATGAACTTGGGGTGTAACCTCAAAACTACCTTACTCTAGGGAGCACTGCATAAGGAGTCTGCCACAAGGGCCCTGAGCTCACCCACTCTTCTGGCAGAGGTGACTGCAGTCAGGAAGGCTACCTTCATAGACAGGTGAAGAAGGGAGCAAGGGGCCAATGGTACAAACAGAGGATTCATGAGTGTTGACAAAGCCAAGCTGAGGTCCCAAGACGGTGCTGATTTCAGTACTGGAGGAAAAGTTCTGGCAAGGCCTTTCAGGAATCTTAGTTATAGGTTGGGTGAAGACCGAGTAGCTGTCAATCAGGGACTGGAAGGTGTTAATTACTGCCAAATGCAGACACTGGGAACAGAGATAGCCCCAGCTTCTTCGGGGAAAGAAGGTAGTCTAAGAGAACAGAGATGTCCAAATCCTCTGGGGTTATGTGACGAAGTTGGTACCAGACAGAAAATCTCTTCCATTTAGGCCCACAACACTGTCTCGTGGGGCGTTTTCTGCTGTTACAGAGTACAGATTGTACTTCCTTGGAGCACAATTCCTCTAAGCTCATCATCCTTCCCAATACCAGGCTGTTAGACAGAAGAATGCTGGGTTGGGATAGTTGATCCTGCCACTGTTCTGTGTTAGAAGGTTTGGAAACGGATGGATATGCATGCACGGGAACACTGACATCTGACGGACGCTGGTGAACCAGAACTGCCTCAGCCAGTAGGATGCCATGAGAATCACCAACACACTGTCCTTCTTGATTTTCTTTAGGACTCAGGGCAAAAGGGTGGCACAGGGTGGGAAGGCATACATCAGCGGCTCCAACCACTGAACCAGGAAAGAATCCTCTGGAATCGTGACCCCCAACCTGATTGGGAACACTAGGTTGGGCATTTCTTGTTGTCCTTGGACACGAAGAGATCCCAATGGGAACCCCCACTGGAAGATGTTTTGTACCACCAAGTTATGTAGTTCCCACTTGTGGTCCTGCAGAAGCTTGTGAGTGGAATCCTGGGCTTCCTCCAGAAGAATCTGAAGACACTCTGGAATTCACACCTTGAAAATGCTTGTAGTCGTTGGGTAGTGATGATGCGGCTGGTATCACCACCTCATCAGGGGATGAGGAAGAGAGTGCTGCAGGGGGGTCGAACCGTTCTGTGTGCTTGGGCTGATCTTCCTCACAGTACTCATGAGGGGGCTGAGGATACGTACTCCCTTTGCAGTGATCCTTGTGTAGACGCCTGCAGAGATCCCTTTAAGTCAGGCGGTCTGCAGTAGGGATCCCAGGAACCCCACCGTCCAGGGGATGGGATCATAATGATAAGGAGGTGGTGACAAAGGGGAGGTTACCAGGAGAATCTGGAGCCCCTATCTTGGCAAACATTTACTCCTGGGGGAATTCTGTGCCACTGCAGGGGCGCATAATTAATGAGCCATGCATATTTTAAAATTTTTGTGCAGAAAAAAAGCTTCTGCTTAAAAGTCGCTGCAGTTCCGTCTTTTGCCCACCAGAGGGTGCGGTGGCGATAGAACACAGCAGCAGCTCCCAGACAGCTAGGGAAGAGAAAGAGCCTGCCTTCTTTGCAGCGCCTGCCAGGTCAGGAGACAGGGGCTATGGAGAGACAGACAGCATGGAGTGCTGGGGGGAGGAGGTGTCAGACAGGGGCTCATAAGGGCTAGTGGGGGAGGACAGACTGGGGCAGGGGCTGAATGGGAGTGGAGGCACAGGGCCACATCGTGATCGGGGAGGGGGTGCAGAGCTACATAAGGATAGGGAGGTGGCTAGGTGGGGGCACAGACTCACTGGGACAGGGGGAAGGGGTATAGAGCCATATAGGGACAGGGCATGGCTGGGTGAGGGCACAGACACACATGGGGATGGGGGAGGGGGAAGAGTGGGTGTCTGAGTGGAGGTGGAGGGACACACGTGCCTGACTGAATGGGAGAAGCTAGGGGTCAGCCAGGGTCTACATGGGGAAAACTCTCTAGCAGTCCCTCCCCGTCCCCTCCAAAAACCTGTTCCATACTTTTCCCACCCATACCCAACAACCCTCCAATTTCACACCCAGGCTTCTTCCCAGCAATTATTTCCCTCTCCCTCAGCTTCTCTATTACTCCTCACTCCCCCCAGACTTTGCACTGCTTCTGGGGGGTGCAGGAAATATGGTTCTGTATTGTAGTTTAAATGAATTATTACTCAGAGTTCTGTATTAATATGCATAGAAAGGAATCTATTTGTCAAAAAACATTTTCTGAATCTTTTTGTTGTCTGTATTGTTACAGACACTTGTTGACAGGTATTTTGAAATAAATGACCAAAAATAATTGAAACTGATATGATTTTATAGTGTTAATTTGACAAATAAAATATGCAGAATTTGAAAATATTGTGCACAGAATTTTTAGGCACAGAATTCCCCCAGGAGTAAACACTGCTTCTTGGAGCAGGCTGAGGGACACTGACTCGGTCTCTATCTCACCAGAAGAATAGGATTCTTCAGACTCCACAGATGAAGCCATTGACAGTACTGGCAAATGGTGCCTCAAAGGTGTGGGTGTCTCCTTATAGATCACTGGTTCCACAAGTATCAGCAACTCTGTGCTGGAATAAAAGCCAGATCCTCCAGGACAGTGAACCCAGGTCTACCAGCAGGCGAGCAGGAGGGATTGCTACCTCCCAGTGGAGCGGACAGTAGTGATTTAAGTTGGGTGGTAGATGATGGAACCACCAAGTCCCTTTGGCTGCTGTGGTGCAGTGCTGACAGTACAGCCGGTGCTCACTCCCTCTTGTTTCTAGTATTGGGGCTGGTCCTGCCCCTTCCACAGCTGGCTGTTTAGGGCTGCTCTTGGCCCTCCGTATTGACAGATCAGCCCCCCGGTCCCAGTGAGCTCCTAACGTACCAATACTGGGATGTGATTTGGAAGGTGGAGGGGGAAGTGATTCTCTTTTTAGAGGCCTTAGGAGGGGACTTTTCCTGTTTCTTATGGGGTGTCTGATCTTACCCTCCCCTCCTGTCTCTTGTTAGAGTTCCCAGGCTTGGTATCTGACGATCCAGAGCTGGAGAGTGTCAGCCTGAAAGGGCATTACTAGGGAACTGCTGACGATACACGAGGGGGTGTGTGTTTGCGTGTGACACAGAGAGAGAGGGACAGAGAGAGAGAGCCGATGTGGGATTGGACTGGGCCTTCATTGACTGCTCCATTAGGTATCTTTGAAGCCAAAATTCATGGGATTGCCATGTTCAAGGTGGAAGTGAATGGCAAACATTGCACTTGGAGAGAACGTGGGATTCTCCAAGGCAATATAAAGCTGGAGGTAGGTCATGCAGGATTTAAAGCCTGGGATCTTAGGCATCCTAAGAACCCTAAACGTTAGGGAGGAGAGACATGGGGGGAACCCAGACCCCAAAACACTAAATTAACTACTAAAATACTAGAACTAGCTATTTAAGACAAACTATTTACACACACCCCAAAAAATTTTTTTAGTAGGAATGCTAGCAAAGCTGCAGACACCGAGTTCTGTCCCCGACCGTAAGCCGTAGAAAGGAATTTGAGAGGTGGTCAATCCACGCCTCTCCTTATGACCTCGATTCGGAGCCCAAGGACGCACAGGGTGCAGGCACAAACCAATGGACACTCCTAGTAAGAATTTTCCAGTCTCAGGTACATGGAGCGCATGTACACATAGGGACCATCACTCGAAGAACCACACACTTTTCCGTACACCTACACCGTACACATTCAGAAAGAGTGGGGTCCTCTGAAATGGATCACTGAGAAGGCAATAAGCCAGTTAAGATTCAGACCACAGCCACCCTAATCAATATGGAAGCAAAGCTCACAGAGATGACAAGTCCAGCATAGTTTGCCTTGATCCGAGCAGACATGCTGAGATATGTATGCTCCGCAAGCTGCATTTCTTGACTGTAGGCTGCAAAGGTGGTGAAGTTCCTGGTTGGGCACATTTTGGGAGTCCCTTGCCTAGCAAGGACACAGTAACCATTAACAGTTGCCTTTGCTTACCTGCTGCACTTGGAATGGTAAACAGTTCTCTTTCATCCTTCACAGTTACCTGAGGAAATAAACCAAGAGTTAAAGTTCAGTATACACCCAACTATACGAGCTCCCATGTCTCTCACCCTTCTCTTTACCAGCAACCATAGAAGTGGTTCATTTTTAATTAGCTGCTCAACTATGGCCTGTCAGACTCCAGTAAATCAGAGAGGGCTGGGACCTAAGTTTGCAAGGAAAGAGAAAGCCCTCAAGGTGGTGGTATAAAGTAGAAGGGATGCCCAGGGCTGTGACAAGGAAACGAAGCTCTCACATGGGAAGGCGTAATGAGCATCACCAGTAAAGATGCATGGAACTACGTTCCTAGTGAAGGATGAAATCCTCCAGACAAAAGCCAGTGTTCATAGTACTGCACAAGGTTCCAGTTGCATAACTCCCACGAAAGCCACAGCCCAGCTGATGGGACTCTCATTGCCTCCCCACGACAGCTGTCACACTCCTAGCAGGCTGCTTACATGAGAGCTGGGTGGTGCCTCAGACACGGATGTTCCTGGAACGGAGGTTGTATTCCGGTCGTAAAACGCAGGTGCACACTCTCTGCTTGCGTTCTGTGGGTGACTTGCCATGGACTTTCTGGCTGAGACCACCAGTCTGCCAGGAACGTGTTGGCTGAATTAGAGAAAATAAAAATATCAAGGAGGGGTATTTAAACAGCAGAAGGCTGAAAGAGACTAAAATAGAGGTCACGTCACCGCTAATTCAATACCCACTGGAAACATAGGCCTTGTCTACACTACACAGTTTTGTTGGCAAAACAGTGGAGGTGTACATACTACAATGCTACTTTTGGCGGCAAAAACTCTCTTGTTTTGCCGACAAAATAAAACCACCTTGACGAGAGGCGTAGAGATTTTTGTGGCAAAGTTAGAGTGATGAAGTGTCAGTGTAGACACCACGTTCACCTGGCCTCCAGGAAGTATCCCACAATGCCCACCGTGACCAGTCTGCTCACTATTTTGAACTCCGCAGCCCTGCATCCAGCTACACAGGCACGTCCGTTTCCCGCCCCCCGGCCAAAGCTCCAGGAACTGTGGAAATTCCTCAGCGTGCAGCACTCACATAGCTACGGCCCACTTGAGCACTACAGCAGCAAACACACTCCTGCCTAGACTACAGGGGAGGGGTAGATCATCTTGGTCTGTGGGCAGATGAGGCTGTGGGAGAACTCAGAGAGAATCTCAAAATCATTAATGTGGAATCCTGCTCTCCTCCGCACTAGGAACACAGTGGCAGGCAGGCAGGCAGGGCTGGCTGCTGCTGGAGGATGCCCATGGAAGGATGGGATTGAGAAACCTGCATCATGTGACGCTGTACCTGCCCCAGGAAGCATTGTAAACCCTTCCCAAAGCACCCTGCGGCCAGTTGCACAGAGGGATAGCTACCACAGTGCACTGCTCTCTGTCTCAACGCAAGAGCTGCTAGTGTGGATGTGCTCTGCCGACACCAGGAACAGAGTGTTGACATGCAACAGCAGTTTAATGAAAGCAGTGGTGTATGTCAGCATAACTTGCATCGACAAAACTCTGTAGTATAGACAAGGCCTCAGAAGGACAAAGGTGCAGAGATACCCTGGTGATGGGCCAGAAAAAACCCTCAGAGAAAGCAATGAGCCTGAATAGCCCATTATATTTATTCTGGACAAGAAATTTAATTTAAATTGTTTCACCTCCAGAAAGAGACCTTAACTGGAAGAGGCTCTTCATTTACAAAGAGGCTGGAGAGACATGGTGCTGTAACATTCAGGGCCAAAGCAGTGTAATTAATACCAGTTTACAGGATCTTGTATAAAAGAGGACTTGTCAAAGAAACTTGGTTTTTTTTTATTTTTGTCTTTTTACTTTTTAATGTCTTCTGCATATTCCCATCTGCAGGGATTTAGCCAGCAGTACTAAGAACGTGGATTCTAGTTGAATAGAGATTGGACAATTGCCCTCCCAAAGCAGGCATCCTCTGCAGATGCCGAGTCGATGGTATTCCTGCGTAAGTCTGTGTACTCAATTCCCAGTAGCAGTCCCGTGAAGGCAGGGAATTAATACAGCCTTTGTCCTATTGGAATAAGCCCCAATCTTCTCAGGAAAAAATGGTTACTCACCTTCTCGTAACTGTTGTTCTTCTAGATGTGTTGTTCATGTCCACTCCAATCAGGTGTGTGCGCTGTGCGCACAACACCCAGAAGATTTTTCCCTTAGCAGAATCCAGAGGGTCGGCCTGGGCGCCCCCGGGAGTCGCGCTTTCATAGCGCCCAATATAGGGCCCTGCCAACCCGATCCCTCCTCAGTTCCTTCCTGCCGGCTACTTCGACAGCAGGGTAGGTGGGTGGGTATTGGAATGGACATGAACACCACATCTCGAAGAACAGTTCTACCTCCATGAGCCAAGGTGTATTGAGAGTGCCTATTGGGAGGTAGGCGGTAAAGCTGAGGTTTCCACATGGAATGACTATAGGAAACTACACTTTAATGGGCAGAGGAAAAGTGGGGGGCTGGATTGGATGAGCAACCGGTAATGAGTGTTTTCCAGCTTTGAAGCCTATAAATCTGAAAATATCTAATTTTAATTGTATTTACATTTTGTCACCAAGTCTCTCTTCTAAACTTGGACTTTGCAGGACACATTTCAATCTTGAGCTGAAATTTTTGTGCAGACTTTTGAGCTCCTAAAAAAGTGATTTTCTGACAGGGCCTGCTAAGTATTTAAACCGTATTTAAGCTGAGACAGGGGGTCATGTATGATAGTGTGCTGCAATATCTGCTGATGCTGTTGAGACCTTTCACTGAAAGTACGGCTATCTGAGCAGGGAAGCCCCGAGGTCACCATGCAGTTACCTCAGTAGATGGAACCCCGCAGGTTCCACTTCTGGGCTTTGTTCTATGGTTTTGCCTTTGTGCTTCTTCTCCAACTGTGACTGGATCTCTCCTCCTCCTCTCTTTCTGCCATATGGATACAACTTCACACCAGGGAGCAGGGGCTGCTGTGCAATGGTGAAGATGGTTGGTTGATCTGATGGCAAACTGGAAGGTGGGACCTCAAGAGTCTTTTCTTCGTCATCATATTTTAAGTCCTAGGGAAGAGGGAAAAAAATTAAATACCTGCTAAACTGAACATGCTAAAATGCAGCCTGCAGCAACCTTAACTTTTGCATTCTTAACCATGTATCTCTAATGCTTTCTTAACCTATTTTGTATGGAATTTCCTTGGGTTCTTTCTTTGGTTTAAAAAAGAATATGGATACCCCCCCCCCCCTGAGAATTCAGTGAAAAAACAGCAAGAGTTCCAGGAGCACTGAACAAGATGAACAATAGCTGAGCCCGTAACAGCTTACAAGTCAACAGTATGCAGCTTATACCACCTGCATACGCATGCACAGCATGGCCGCCTTTTGCTGTACACTTTATACAAAACAATGAGATGATGAATGCAGAAGTCTACTCAAAAACAGCACATATATTTCAAAGGCTCATAAGTCAGTTAAATTACAAAGCTTTTGCTTAAAGACTCTCCAAAAATACAACAGAGGGTCCTGTGGCATCTTTAAGACTAACAGAAGTATTGGAGCATAAGCTTCCGTGGGTGAATGCCCACTTCATCAGACC